CTTGCCTAGATAAGCTACTCTTCTTCCTCCTCTTCGACAAACCATCCTCCCGACGCACCTAAGACCAGTGCAATGCTTTTCAAGCGTTGATTGTAGGCTTCCTCTGTAAAATACGGATAGCAGATAGAAAAATCAACTTAATGGCCAATTTTTTAGGACTTTTTGAGTTTCACCACTGTTTCCTTAACTAATAATCCTCCAAACCTGTTACTACCATTTCTACATGCAATTAAATTCCTTCCACTTAAGCAGCAACTGACAAAGTTTTGAACGGAAGGAAAAAAGAGTTCATGAAAACACCCATATTGAATTCACCCAGCAATCGCTTCCAATGTTAATTACAAGATTTTTTTCCGATATCATCCACCCTTCAATCTATCCTTCATTCTTCCTTTTGAATACTCCGAAAAGACGTCGAACTTCACTTCGGGATACAAATTTTTCAAAGGAGGAAGTATCCACAGTAAAAAGAATAATGTTGCGTCAGTTATTGTTCAGAGGAACTAGTTCGTGGTTATCCATAAAGCCAGTGACCAGTTACGAGCTGTTGACGCGAATTGGGTAACGTTTACAAGACTTGATATATCTTCATGACAAGCTGTTTCCAAAAATAGAAAGAACCAGCTTTGTCGCTACCATTGCCAACGAGTACGATAATATAGCTTTATGAGAGCTGGCACTACACTTCAAGGAAAATTTTCAATGAAACTGGAGGATTAATTGGCATTTTAATATGCAAGGCTTTCATACGTTTAGCATAATTTCAGGAGTAAATGAATATTAATTTGGTTTTTCTAATTCATTTCTAATCCCTAGGTTTCTCATGTTACAAGAAATCACCTTCGGTAAAAAGTCGGAACGATTCTGCTTCCACTTCTTGTTGACGCAACTTCATTTCTTCTTGGAATCGCGGTTCCTCTTCAGTGTTGTCGGGATTATCGTCTATTTCTTCTCTCTAGAACAGGGCGCAATACAAACTGATTTCGTTCTTCAAAAGAGAAAGGTTTTTAAGACAGATTTCATCTGTCGCAAGAACGACGGATGGCTTTTTAGATAGCCCTGGGTCTGAAAAGAGTGACGGCTTCATTTCTGAGTTTGAAAAATTTATGGTGAAAAAATCTATAAACAATTTGATTGTGACACGTTTGTTCATAATTTTTTGTAGCATCATAAGTCATACCTCTGAGGGTTGAATTTCATAATCAGTTTGGAGAGTTTGCAAGGAAAAAGGAAACTTTTATCAAGATTACTCCTTGTGGCGCTTCATCCCGCCCTATTACCACATCCTCAGATGGC